ACTTTTGTCCGTCGCACCACAGGGCTACAGGGACTTGTTTGAGGTTGCTACTTAAAATATAAACTAGTATATTATATTAATGCTATTTAAATTAAAATATACTTTAATATACTATAATGATGTTATTTAGTTTAATTTATCATAATAATGCTATTTAGTTTAATATATTATAATAATAATATTTAGTTTAATATATTATAATAATGCTATTTAGTTGTACGGAAACTTAAGAAAGACTAAATTAAGTCTTTATATTGAAAACCTTTAGATTACAAAATAAATTAATAATTAATAAACTACTACTACTACTACTACTATTACTACTACTACTACTACTACTACTACTACTACTACTACTACTACTACTACTACTACTACTACTACTACTACTACTACTACTACTACTACTACTACTACTACTACTACTACTACTACTACACACTACTACTACTACTACTACTACTACTACTACTACTACTACTACTACTACTACTACTACTACTACTACTACTACTACTACTACTGCTACTACTACGAATACTACTACTACTACTCTTACTACTACTACTACTACTACTACTACTACTACTACTACTACTACTACTACTACTACTACTACTACTACTACTATTACTACTACTACTACTACTACTACTACTACTACTACTACTACTACTACTACTACTACTACTACTACTACTACTTTTTATTTTCCTCTGTTTTCTCTCATTTGTAACCTAGAATAGCCTATTACTACTATTAAAATTATTTTTTCAATTTTCTCAACGGCAACTTTCGCGACTTCATTTTATAAGTTTCGCAATTGTTTAGTTGTAAGAAGTTAATTTTGTGTGATCTTGTTCCTCTCTATGAAAATTCAAGAAATAATTATAAAAAATTTAACTCGAGCATAAAAAATCAAAATTTATTTGAAATTTATATTTTTTTTTTGATGCAACAAAGGGCATTAATTTTTTTTATATTACTTTGAAAGTTTGAAATTGAAAAGTTTCATCTCCATTTATAAAATATAAAATAGTTAGGAGATAAAAGTTTTATCTCCAAAGAGATAAAAGATTTTATATTTGGAGATAAAAGTTTTATCTCCAAATATAAAATAGTAACTAAAATTATTTTTCATTAAAATTTCAGATAAGTCAATAAAAAATTTTTTGTCTAAGCCATTTTTATAGTTACATTGCATTGAGGTTACTGGGGCTAGTTGAGCATTGATTTAAATGGAGTCTATGCGTTTCTCTATTCTCTCCAACCTAGAAATGACTAAACGAAAACAATTTCAAATCAACTCACTTATTTAACTTAATTATTATTAACTAGCGTAAGTGTCAATTAACTCATAACTTAATATGGTTTTTAAGTATTTTAAGAACGCGCATTAAAGTTATTTTATTACTTTTTTTTGTAGGAATTTTTTGCTACTATGTTGATCATGCAGACTAATATAAACATTTTACTGTTTTTATGAGTCGATTAAACGTTCAATTTACTATAAATTTAAGTAAAAAACAGGAGCTAATTGGCTTAGAGCAGTTTTTATTCCTTCGTGGTTTACTTCTTGAATTTTTTTTTAATATACTCATCACATGCAGTCGGTTTGTTTTTATGAATATACTCTCATTAAAATATTTGGGAAAATATCTATAAGTAACAATGGTAAGGAAGGCAGCACGGCGCTCTGAAAAGCAAGGCTTTTATGAACACTCTAATGACTAAACAAATGCATTTAAAAACACAATAGCCAAGGCTGTCTCAAACCAAACCCTACGGCTTCTTGTTATTTTTTGTAAATATTGACTTAAGGGGTGCTACTAAAACATTAATATCTTTTGAAGTTTAAAAAATAATTTTGTTTTATAAAAGAATGAAAATACCAATAAAATATTTCATCTTACAACATTTTTTTTTTTTTTTTTTGTCTTTTATCAAAGCTTTACAAATACGTGATCATAAATATAAACTAGTTCGTTTACATTGTATAAAAAAAATACCGTACATATAATAAGAAAACTTTTTTTAATACAAATAATAATATATATAATAAAGTAACACTGTTAAATGACGCGAGAAACTTGCAGAAGACCATTTTGGTCTTGTCATCAAGAAACCACTTTTAGTTGCGATATTTTGTATACTTAATTTATTAAGAAATTTCAGTTTGTCAAAGTCTCATGGTGGCATAAGAGTCACACATAAAAAGCTACTAGATAATCAAAAACAAAAAACGGAAAAGAGCTGTATTTGATACACATAAATATATAGTTACATGGTTTGTTATACTTAGTATATTGACATGTACGAAATATAAATAAAATCTAACATTTACTTTGCTTTAAAGTGGATTTTTTAGGGGTTTTTAGTTATTTGTTTTAATATACGTTTGTAAAATTGTTTAAGTTTAGAAAAAGTTTTTTTAAAAGTGTTTTCAGAGAATTATGGTTAAGTAGTTTTGTAATTATAGTATTTTTAGCTATTAGTTTGTTGTAGAGGTAAGGGCCGCGATACGAGATGGAGAAACGTGATAGTTTTGTTTTTTTATATGGTATTTTAAAATTTCCTATTCCTTGAGTTTCATATTTATTTCTATTGCATTTAAAAAATTCTTCTGAAAAATGTAATGGGACAAGTCCGAGTTTATATTTGAGCATGAATATCAAATTTTGGTAAATGTTAATTTTGTAGACATTTAGTGCATTTAGAAGCTTTAGCAAAGGTTCGGCATGAGTAAATTTATCTTTATTAAATACTATTCTTGCAGCATGTTTTTGATGTCGATAAAGTGCCACTAGGTTGGATCTATGGGTACTTGCCCATGCTATATTACCATACGTATAATTGGTTTGAATGAAGGAGAAATAAAGTAGCTTTAAATTTTTTTGGGGTAGCATCGGTCTAGCTTTGTAAAGCATGCAAATGTTGTTTCTTATTTTGGTATTTAATAAATTTATGTGAGCTTTCCATGAAATATTCTCATCGATAAGTATTCCTAAAAATTTTGTTGCTTTGGTTCTTTCGATAAATTTATTTTCTATTTTTAGAGACGGTAATGGAATTGGTATAGATTTTTTCCTTTGATTGGTGTGAAATAGAATGTAGTTGGTTTTTCTGTACTCAATGATAATTTGTTAGATTTAAACCAAGTATTAAGTTTTTCAAGTTCAATACCTGCAGTTTCGAAGAGTTCTGCGATAGAAGTAGATGAATAAAATAAGTTTGTATCATCTGCAAACATTATGGCATCAAGTTTTTTTGAGACTTTTGGAAGATCATTGATGTATAGCAAGAAGAGTAGGGGAGCTAGAATGGAACCTTGGGGAACTCTGCATTTTATTTTGAGTAATTTTGAATGGGTATTTTTATCCATAATAACACATTGCTGTCTGTTTATAAGAAAGCTCTCAAACCAATGTAAAGCAACATTTTTAATGCCATATTTTTCCATTTTTTTAAGTAGTATAGCATGATCAACAGTATCGAATGCTTTCGATAGATCAATATAGATTCCTAGAACAAATTTGTTATTATCAAAAGAGTCATTTATTTTATTTACAAGATCTATAATCGCATGTTCGGTTGAATGTTGTTTTTGAAATCCGAATTGTTTTTTATTCAAAATATTGTTAATAGTTAGGTATTTATATAGTTTATTGTAAACTATTCGTTCTAGAAGTTTAGAAAAGACAGAAAGGATTGAGATGGGTCTGTAGTTATTAAGTGAGCATTGCTCTCCGGATTTAAATATTGGTACAACTTTTGCAATTTTTAATTTGTCTGGAACAGTTCCTGTTGTAATTGAAGATTTAAAAATTTCGAATATGGGTTTGCGTATCACCGGGAAGACACTTATTACTACGTTGCTAGAAATCTCATCAATCCCTGGTGCTTTGTTAATTTTTAGAGAATTTTTTGCAGCTTCGAGTTCATCATAGTCTAGTCCATTAAATTTTAGTTCGCTTTGTTGATTTGTAAGATAGGTTTCAAAATAGGTATTTGAGCATTGAATTTTGGACGCCATGTTAGGGCCGATGTTTGCAAAGAAACTGTTGAAATGTTCGGCTATAGAACTTTTATCGTTGTATTCTTTTTCATCCACAACAATTCTATCAGGTAAGGTATTTGTTTTGGTATTTTTTCTCCCGATTATTTCTTTCATGATGTTCCATGATTTTTTAATATCGCCATTGGTATTTTGAAGTAGTTTTGAGTAGTATATATTTTTTAGAGTTTTTCCTTATTTTTTCAAAGAGATTTTTGTATTGCTTGTAGATAGATAAGTTGACTTCATTTCTGTTTTTTAAATATTTTATGTAGAGTTTTTGTTTTGTTTAAGAGGATTTTTTAATTCCACTAGTAATCCATGGACAGTTCAAATATTTTTCTTTAACTATTTTTTCTTCGATCGGGAAATAACTATTATAATGATTAAAAAAAATATCGATAAATGTATTATATGCGGAGTTTGTGTCCTCAAGGTTGCATTTTTTATATACTTTATCCCAATTCACTATTGATAGTGTGTCTTTAAATTTTTGAATAGAAATTTTATTAGTTTTTCTTATATAAATTTTGGTTTTAGAATTGTTGTTTATTCTTGTATCTTGATTTATAGAAAAGTAAATTGGGAAGTGATCCGAAATATCGGTTTTACCCAGTAAGCACATGAACGTTTTTAAAACGTTTTTTTAACTAAGAAAAAAAACGTTTTTTAAACGTTCTGAATGGCAATACCTAAAAAACGTTTTTAAAAAAGCGTTTAAAAAACGTTCTGAAAAAGTCGTTTAAAAAACGTTCTAAAACAAACGTTTAAAAAACAATCTCAAATAACCTAAATAAAACCATAATTTAGGCGTCTTTTAAACTTTTAAAAGACGTTATTTTTTAGAAAATATTCCCAAATCCATAGGTACTATTATTAAATTGTTTTTAAAAGAACCAGTTGGTTTAAAAAACAAGAAAAATAAAAAATTTGTTTAATAGTTATTTTTAAATTTATTTTTCAAAACAATTTACAAACAAAGTAATATTATAACGATGGATTTAAGGCACTTTAAGACAAGCAAAAGTTGCCCGTTTTCACGAATCAGCAATTATTGCATCGTCAATCGACTCTGTGTATGATTCGTGAGAAGTCGATGCACAAACTAAAAGAAAAAACTATATATTTAAAACAGACAATCTGAACAGTAATAATAGTATTATAGTATAATAATAATAATAGTATAATAATAATAGTAATAAGTTTTTAAATTACAAATATGTTTTAAAAATATATATATAACTTCACATTGCATATATATATATATATATATATATATATATATATATATATATATATATATATATATATATATATACATATATATATAAATATATATATATATATATATATATATATATATATATATATATATATATATATATATATATATATATATATATATATATATATATATATATATATACACACACATATATATTATATATATATATATACACATACATATATATATATATATATATATATATACATATATATATATACATATATATATTGCGTACTAAAGTAAGCAATCTGACGTCATACTGAAATAGCCTGCTGCTGGGGGCTTCAGTACATACATCGACTGACAAATAGCCTGACTCGCAGTCCACTGCGAGTCAGGCTATTTGTCAGTGCTGCTACATCGACTGAGGGTCTGGGATGGGAAAGCAATCGTTTTATTCATCATTCTTTGTTCAGATTGTCTGTTTTAAAATACTGTTCAGATTGTCTGTTTTAAATATATAGTTTTTTCTTCTTTTTCGAAAAAAATGGTAACAGGTTAGTATTCGGTAAATTTGAAATACAATCCCGCCTAATAACTGTTATATATAGATTTATATATATATATATATATATATATATATATATATATATATATATATATATATATATATATATATATATATATATTATATTTATATATATATATATACATATATAAAAACGTACCTTTTATTAAATTGTATAGCTTACTTAGGCTAAAAAGATCTTTGCCTTTTCCAGCTGCCATATTTGGCCATGAGCGAATTTGTCACAAATCTAAAAATAATATGTTTTAATAATATTATATCTTATAATTTATGAAATTATGATTAACTACTGTATTTAAAATTTTTTTCTTTTTTCCCATAAAATCTAAATGTAATTAAACATTTAGATTTTAATTTAACGATACAGTTTATCTATTAATTAAATCTAATCTACTATTTAAAAAATAGCACACTAACTATTAATATAGTCCAGATCATAAGTGTACACTAACCATTAGTGTAGTCATATATATGAATATTATCTGGGTTAAAAGAATTATCTGGACTAAAGTTTAAAGCTATAGGATAACCTATAGCTTTAAACTTGCAAACTGGTAAAAGTGTAAATTGGCATTAGTGCGCCAAACAGGTTAGCAAACATTACGAATAGGCATAAGTGCAAAATTTGATTACGTAAAAAACAGTTACAAAAACTGGCAGAAGTGCGAACTGACATAAATGCGTGTAATAAATTTGCAGTTTGGAATTATGCTAAATTTTGCAAATTTATTTGGCACACTTATGCCAGTTCGCATTTATGTTGCTTGCACTTTTGCGAGTTTTTGCAACTGCTTCACACTTATACCAGTTCCCACTTATGGCAATTCACACTTATGCGAATGTTTGTAAATCTATTTAGCGCACTTATGCCAATTTACACATATGCCAGTTTGCACTTATAGCAGTTTGCACTTATGCCAATGTTTGTAATTCTTTTTGTGCAGTTATGCCCATTTGCACTTATGCCATTTGGCATTGTGCCAGTTTTTGTAACTGCTTCGCACATGTGCTACTTTGAGCGTATGAAATTCACGGTTATTCAGTCGCCCCATTATGGTAAAACGGCTAACGTAGAGCCATGCATGGGATTTGTATAATGGATTGTAAGATGGGAGTAATATCATTATAAAATTAAACAGAGTATTTATAGGAATGCACTTTAAATTTACTAACCTCTTCATCATAGCTATCACAAGTTTTTGACAGTTCTTACCACTAATATTTTGAACTCTTGGTTTCTAATAGAAAGAAATAATGGAAATCTGACAATTCCTAATTAAGTAGTAAAAATTATATATTGTAAAGAAAATTAAAAAAAAGAAAAATCTGTCAAATCAGTATTTAGCAATTTACAACTGCAGAGATACTACAGAGTTACTAGATGAAACATTGTCAAGTGCTGAGTCAAACTTATCAAATTTTATTATGCTGTTAATTTCAGTTACTACTTCTTCTTCACACTATTTTATATTAAGTTTTTTGCATCCTTGGGTTTTTATCTCATTTAAGAGAAGCAACACATAATATTGAAAGTCTAAACAAATTTACACTAATTAAATTTTACATTGTCTTAACTAAACTACGTAAATAAATTTAAAATACATAAATTTAACAATTTAACAACTTTACTGGTCTAAGCCTAAATCAGAGAAAAACTAATAGACAGTAAAATACCTAATAGTGGCAATGCTATATTATATATATTAGCATTTTTCTCAGATTTCGGATTAGACAAGAAAGATTGTTCCATAGATTTATAGTTTTGATAATATTGAAATAATGGATTTCATGAAGGTGATTATTTAAAGTTGAAATTGGAACCTCATCATTTTAATGATATTTTTTAATATTGACAGTCATGTTAGCATTTTACAACAAACATTACATTATTATTTTTAACTAAAGACTTACTTGCTTGAGATAATGGAAATCCATAATGTTTATCCTTTTTATTTAAAGATGATGAAGATTGATGTGTCTTAAAATGAATCTCTTGGTCATCACAATCAATATCATCTTTGTTTATTATTTTTTGACTTACACAACACAAACATAGAGAATATTTGAATTTCATCTAACAACTTGTCTTCTCATGTAGCAATTTTACAATTAAAAAATTTTTACAAATTACTTTACAGATTATTAACTTTATAAGTAAAATAGGGTATATAGTATGGTATATAATATTATAGGTTTCATACTGCTAAACATTTGGTAATAACACCAGAATATCATTAAAGAATAAAAATTTTAAAATGACATGATATTATTTTTAATTTTTAGAGTTAAAGAAGAAAAAGTCTGAGAATGTTGTTCCCTTTTTTCAAATCCAAATAGATTTTTTTGCGTTAAAAGCAGTTGATAATTAAGTAGAATTAAAAACTTAATCTAGTTTTTTTAAGCATTCAAGTTTACTCAACAATTAAGTTACTTATTAGAGTAAAATAATCTAGCTAACCACACCATTAAAACTTTATTAATCATATCTACTTGATTCAAGTAGAAATACAAACACAACCAAGTTTCAACGAAGGCATACAACTTTAAACTAAAAATACTCCAATATATTTTCAAATTTAATTCTACAAAAAAACAATACAAACACTTGGTTGATTTAAATATATACTAATTTATATATTTTTACTTAAATAAATCAATTCGCCTAATCGAAGGTCACGCCGTTATTTGCGTAAACATACTCTTTTAAATATTGCCGTTTAAATATTACGTTTAAAAAAAGTTTTTTTATCACGTTAAAAAAAACGTTTTAAAAACGTTCATAAGCTAACCGTAAGTTAATTAAAAAAATAAAACGTTTAAAAAACGCTAAAAAAACGTTTAAATTAACATTAAAAAAAACGTTTGCAAAAAAACGTTTTAAAAACGATTGTATTGGTTCTTTTAACGTCCGACCGTAAATTGAACGGAATTAAAACGTTTTAAAAACGTCCTGTGCTTACTGGGTAACTATACCTGTTTTTAAAGAGGAATCTTGAAATGCATTTGTCAAGATGTTATCTATTGCGGAAATTGAATTCGGGGTTATTCGCGTAGGTTTGTTGATAATTGGAAAGATACAATGTTGAAACATGTTGTCAAAAAAAAGTTTGGTGGTCGCATTCTTTTTGTATTTTAAACAATCTATATTTAAATCACCTATGCAGAATAGTTTTTTTTGTTCTCTATTAATTTTAAGAAAGATATCTTCCAAGTAGCTTGAAAATTTTTTTATATCTCCTTCAGGTGGTCTATAGCAGGTAAAAACTAAGATATTTTTAGTTTTGGAGTTAGTGATTTCTATTGTAAGTACCTCACAACTGGAATCAGAAATCGAAAGGTCTTTTCTTGCTTTTATTGCTTGGTCATTCCGAATATATGTTGCAATCCCTCCCCCCCTCCTTTTGTCTGCTTTCCTTTCAGAAGATAATAATTTATAATATGGAATTTGAGTTAGAATTTTTTTGAATTGATTCATCAGAGCACCAAGTTTCTGTCAGACAAATCATACTGAATGAGTAATTACAATCGGTTAAGAAATGTTTTAATTTATCAAAATTTTTATTTATACTTCTTATATTTATGTGTATTGCCATAAAGTTATTTTTAAAAGTTTGGAGTTCAGTTTTAAAGTTTTTAATGTTGAAATAAGGCGAATCAAAGTTATTAACTTGAAAGATTTGCGTATCAACGTCACAAAAATCATTGAGTATGTTATTTGCGGTTTCGAAGACATTAAAACGCAGCGATTCAAAATCTATTGTTTTGTAAGTCATTAAGTTAAGAAGCAAAAATTAAATACGCGTTCGTTTAAAAAAGAGTTTAAGTAAAAGAGAACGCGGCGCTACTTTTTGAAATCTCGACTAAATATTTTATCGTATTTTAAAATAACGTATTTACCTTCGCTGCGTAGTTTTTTTACTTCTTCCCAAAGCTTTCTTCGGAGTTCAGTTGTTTCTGGAGCGAAGTCTTCATTAACGTATAGGCCGGTTCCTTTAAGGTGCTTTACTGCGTTGAGAATTTTGTTTTTGTCCTGAAAATTTAAGAGTTTTAAGACTATTGTTCTTGGTTTGTTATGCTTGTGTTGACCGATACGATGAGCTCGTTCAATCACCACTTCACTTGTTATTTTAAGTTGTTTTTTAATCATTACTTTTACTGCTTTTTCGCAATCATCCCAATTCTCTCCTGGTGTTTCGTGTAGTCCGTCTATTCTTAAGTTGTTTCGTCTCGATCGATTTTCCAAATCTACTGTTTTTTTGTTTAATATATTTACTTCATTGTCATAGTATTTTTTTATGTGTGATAATTTTTCTGATATTTTATCTTCTTGAAAATTAAGGCTGTCTTTAATGTCATTGATATCTTTTTCAAAATTCGATATTTTCCTTTTATTGTTGTTATTGTCTTTTTCTATAACGTCTAACCTATCGGTTATAATTTTAAGGTTTGCACTCATTATTGAGGTGAAAGTTTTTTCCTGCTCCTTTAGCAAACGTTCTGTTTCTTTAAGTATGCTTTTTTTATGTTCTTCAAGTTTTGATGAAATCATTTTTTCAATGCTCTTCATTGTTATTTCCATTTTTAATCATTAACTCCTTTTTGATCATTAACGGGGACAATGTAAAAATGTGCATTTTCAAGGACAAATTTAAATTCAAAAATTTTCTATGAAAACTTTGTTTAAAATTTTTTTCTTTTTTTTTTTTACACGGCAACATGAGGTAAATTTATAGACTTAATGATAACTAAATATATAAATTTTTTGTAAAAAATGGTCCCCGTAAATTTTTTAAACATAAAATGGTCATTTACGGGGACATACAACAAAATGTGTTTTTTCGGGGACATGCATAAAAATGTGCATTTTCGGGGACAAATAGTAAAACAAACTTAATTTGAAAAATTTATTATCTTTAGCGCCATTTTAAAAATGACTTAAATATTGCAAACCAAAGTATTCAGAATTAAGATAAAAAATTAACTTTTTTTATTTTCTTGCCAATTTTGTAGCGACTCCAGCTATAGAAAATTTCCAGTTAAGGCTCAGTAGTTAGAGCGCCTGTTTTTACTTGTTTTGGTATCAAGATCGGCTTTATTTTTAAAGACAAAATAAAGTTTATTTAATTTAGTTAATACAGTTTCCTTGATTATGCTCTTTGACAGAACTAGACATAACAAGGAAGCCATTTATGAACTTTTATCAAGTTAAATTAGCAATTCATTAAAAAAAAAAAATTTAAACAAACCTAAATCTATCTTTTAAATTTAGACGAGGGTTTTAAAAACTTCGCACAAGGATTTTTTAACGGATTTATTGAATGTCTAAACTCAAGGCTTGTCTAAAAATAGCGAAACTGACATGATCACATCTCTATATTAATTAATTGGTATTAATGTAAGTATAAAGTATTGAATTATAGAACTCCGTCATGTAAAAGCGCCTAAAAATTTGTGGCTCTGGGTACAATATATTTTTTTATTTGTAACTAAAATCACAAGCTATTCTACCTAAGGCCACTTTTCAAAAATTAGGTTTAACTCCATAAAAAATTGACAACAAAGATAGACGCACAAAGTATATAAAAAAAAAATTTAATCTTAGATTTTTTTCAACGTGCTTATCTAGTGTTACTTGATCGCAACACTTAAATAAGTAACAAATTTGACTAACAATTCTGAGCATAATAGAAAAAAAAGTCTTCAATTAAAAATACCAGCGGCAAAAATTTATCTTACACCATCAAAAATACGTCCAATTATAACTTGCTATCGAAATGCTCTCTTAAAATCAATGTAGAAATAAAAAAGAAAAAGTATTATAACTAATCATTTGACTGAAACGCATAACTAAGAAATAATTATTTTTTATATAAAAGTGAGAAAGCCTAGATACACAAATGAAATGACTCGAACAGGAAGGCCTAGATACACGAATAAAAAATGTTATCACTTCTGAGATTTTATACTTTATTTCCTTATAAAGGCATGCAAAAATTTATGCGTTTTTGGGGACCAGTAAAAAAATGTGCATTTTCGGGGACCAACTAAAAAACTAGTTTAGTTTAGAAAATTTTTTTAGCGCCGATATAAAATTAATTTTAATTCTTGCAAATCAATAGGTTCACTGCGCTCTGTGACATGACAAGATATAGCATATAATTTATATTCTAACAAATATTGTAATTTTTTTTTCAATTTTGTTATAATAGTATGCAAAAAAATATGTATTTTTGGGGACCAGTAAAAAAATTTGCATTTTCGGGGACAAACTAAAAAACAAGTTAAGTTTAAAAAATTACTATAGCGCTGATTCAAAAATGATTTTAATTCTTGCAAACCAATAGATTTACTGCGACCTGTGGCATAAAAAGACATAGCATGTAACTTATATTTTAACAAATACGGTAATTTAATTTTTAAATTTCATTATAAAAACATGCAGAAAAGTTTTTATTTTCGGGGTTATGCAAAAAATGTGCTTATTTAGGGACAAAATAAAAAAAATGAAAATTAATTATTTGTTTATTTATCTACTGCTGATTCAAAAATGACTTTAAATTTTGCAAACCAAAAGATTAACTGTGTTCTGACATATTACAAGACATAAAATGTAATCCTTATTTTTACAAATACTGTAAGTGTACACTTTAACTGCATTTATGAAGACACGAATGAAATTGTGTTTTATTAGGAACGAGTGAAAAAAAAAAGTTCATTCTCAGGGACTAACTTAAAAAACAGAGTAAATAAAGTTAGCATATTTTGCGTTGATTCATAAAAAATTTTTACAAACTAAAAGAATAACTATGCTCTTTGAATTAGCAAGGTTTAAAAATAAGGCCATTTATACATATTTTCAAAATTAAATAAGCTCTTTGTTTTCTAAAAACTAGTTAACACAAAACTAATTCAATTCAGTAAATTTGTTTGAAAATTTTTAAGCTTTAGTTTAATTAAAGAGAGCTAAAAACTTATTCTCCCTTACCACATGGAAAAAAAATTATATTATGTGCTTAAAAAATAAAACTTTTTTAAAACTTTTTTTAAATTAAATTAAATTTATTAAACGATTTTAAATTAAAAATACATTTTTATTGATAGAAAAATGAAAAATAATAGTAAATCAAAAATATAGGTTAAATCTTCAGTATTGAAACAAATTTAAAATGTAAAAAGAATTAAAAATCCTCAAAGAAAATTTTAGAATATTGGTTCAGATATAGTTACTCCAATATACCCAGTGACAGATCCAGGATCCTTTGGTGATTGAGATATCTAACTTTCATACATTGAGCTAGCTCCAATTAGCTCCAATTATTATGTTTATACTTATGTCAAATAATGAGGCTGTGCAAAAAATTGCGACGAATTGACCGAAAAAGCTCTTTGAGTTCATAAAACAAACATGAGGGGCAACAGCTTGATAAAATATCTTTTGTACTTTTCTCAATTAGATTTTATATTCATTGATAAACTTCAAGTTTTAGAGTATTATTTCTGAGCGTTCAAAAACTGTGACCATATAAAGTTTAAACCCCCTCAGTATGAGGGGGTTACAATTTTATATGGTCATAATTTTTGAATGCTGAGAGATAGTACTATGAAACTTGAAATTTATCAATGAATATAAATCTAATTAATAAAAATACACAATTTTTTTTTATCAAATTGTTGC